GGAGCCAGCCTTAGCAAGGCGTACCAAGGAGCAATCAGCACCTCATACATCTCATACAGGGAGTAAATAAGCCGAGGCTGATACGAGACCCATTTGTAAACTGAGCTAAGTTCGTCATAGTTGACTGATAAATAGACTATTGTGGTAGGTTTGGATCGCGATGATGTTTTTCTTTTACCAGTAGACACTCATAGAACGTCTACCGTGAAACTATTCTACATATAATCTGGCATCAGAGATTAAGAGGGGTATGAATACAATTACATAGTAACAAATACCCAGCACGGGAATAAAGTCACCTATTTTGGCCAGAGCTAGTTAAGGAGTCGAATATCCACAGTCAGGCTCCACGAACTAATATCGTTAGTCCATTAGTATTCATTGTTATTATAGGAAAGGCTTGCGTGCCATCTTTGTTGCCTTTTTATAACCCTGGAAATATCAATGACGCCTCAAGGCGTATGCTACTTCGCTCTGGTGCTGCAACCGTAGAGCTATTCCTGGATATCCATTGTTGCATTAAGTTGCGAAGTGCAGGAAGATACCTTACAGACTCTACGCAGTTGCCTCCGTCTACAATTCTAGCACTCGCAACAAAAAGCAGTCTCTATATAAACCTTTGATACTGCTTGATTCTGTAGCGCGAGCATCAATCCTCTTTTGATATCGCGGACAGCCGTTGTTGCCCAGCATCATGACTCAAGAACCCGACGATAGAACCGAATTTACCAACCTCCTTCGCCGCAAGAATGTAACGTCGTGGTCTGAGAATATAGGCCTGAAAAGGTTGTCGAATCAGCGCTCCATTCTTGTTGCCACCAGCGTGATCAAGGTAACGTTCCAGCTTCAAAAGTATTCATTGTACGCTAATCATAGAGAAGTCTGGAGAGGTGATCCTTAAAGGAGATATGAGCGATGCGCTCGAGTTTCATCTAGTGCAAGAAACACTGAAAATGGGAGCAAACATATCCCTTTCACCGGAAGCTTCCGTGCATTGTCATTTCGCGGTTCTGCTTGCGTTACAGATGATTAAAGACAAAAGCGTCTCGTATTGGCAAATCCCTGATATCAACTACTTTAAAACGTATTTCCCTATCCTCTGGGACGAAAAACTGCAGGCTTCGCTTCCTGAAGAAGCTAAAGTATGGTTGGCCGTGCAGCAAGATCGGCTGGATATCGACTGGGCCCACGCTAAGGAATCATTGAAAGCAAATTGGACAGATGTAGGGAAAAGCTCCACCAGCACTTGGGAGATATTTCTACGAGCATGGCTCTATGTGGAGTCCAGGGCGTACAAAGATACGCGTTACGATACTGTTCTG